CCGACTCGGTTGGCGTTCAATTAAAATCCAATATAAAATATAGATTGCATGCCGGCGATGTGCGTTTCGTTGCCTTTTGCCTCCTCTTTTCGTGTAATATTCAGAAGACAAGGCAACTAAAAGCGAAAACAATAACAAGAATCGAAGGCACAGACAATGCATAGAAAATGTGTTAGAACTGTATATATCGAAAAAATATACTGTATAATTCAAATCAATAAATTTGGTGTTAATATTCTCTTAAAGAATAGTGATTAGGGAAAGAGATGAGACTTTGGATATAAAAATTGTCTAAGCATATAAGAGAGTCGAGAATACTCGAGGAGAAGATGCCCTGAGCCCTGCAAATAGATGAAAGAGCACTTGCAGACACACACACATGCGCTTGGGCTGCAATTTGAGTTATATTATGAGAGCTTGAGTAAATCCTCTTGTACTGAGACTGTCTATATCAAACTGGTTATAAAATATTTGTCAATTATTTTAACTACTTTTTTTTGTTGTTCAAATATGAAGAATATATAGATCTGATCAAGAATATATAGACTTTACAAGGCCTTGAGCGCTTCAGTCTGTCCTTATTGCTCATTTACTATAGGTTCAGGCTTTGCAAGCCTTTATTCACGTAGGAGACTCTTCAAATGTAGGTGACTCTCTTTAATTAATTACAGTATAATTCGGCTATAACGACGCGAGGGACCGTCGTTATACAAGACACAATAACCATATACTTTACTCATGTAAGTTTATCTGGGAGTCGGAATTCTCGACGACCGTACGTACGCTATAAACAGACCGTTATATCCGTATCTACTGTATATTATTTTCGCTTTCTACTTAAAAAATACGCTCTCATTCTTCTTGTACTGCTTAAGATATTCTCGATCATCTCACTCACGTCAACAAGATGGACGTATATCTCTTGTTAGTTAGCCATAGAGCTATTTCCGCTAACCTCTTATCGACCTACTACACAAAAATTAAATACAACATCTATTTAATCTATAATTCTTCCATAACTAAAATCTGTATTCCTATTGTACAAATGGCTCGAGAAGATAATGGCAAATGTTTGCTGTCTATTCAACTGATGTCAAGTAGTTTGTAAGCAAGTCTTGCATCCATTTGAATTTACAGAGCAACAAATTCAATTCTGTGGCTCATTTAATTTCCATTTGCGGCGCACACACATATATAAATAAGTAAATCTATTGCTTTTGTGGCGCCCCACTTGAGTTTGGGGTGGTCTCAGTTTATCGGGTACAAAGGCATTTTGTATTTTATGGCAACTGCATTTTTGGCTAACGAGCATTTTAGATAATATCATTTCAAGAACAGAGCCGAACCGAACCGTAAATTCTTCTACAAATACGGGCCAA